TACAAAGTGTTTGGCTGGATAAGAGCCTATTGGGATTGAGTTTGTATGAAACATAAAATGTTGCTAAAGCATCGAAACCATTGACATTGTAAGAATTGAATGGGTAAATGTGTGATCCGCTGTGCTCTCTGCAGACATGCCTCCGAGGATGATGGCTCCTAAGAACCAGCTGATCAAAGTCATCCAGAACAACCGCACCTTCCTGGACTGTCCCTTCTTCGGCTCCCCTCTGCCGGACCTGCGCTGGTGAGCCTCTCACCACATGTTGGTTTCTCAGATGCAGAAATATTTGTGTAGTCATCATCCTCTGGAGCAGTGATTTCCAACCGATGTGCCGTGAGAGATGGTCAGGTGTGCCGAAGTTGTGCTATTCACTAAATTGGTCCAAAAATGCAAATAACTTGCCATCGTTGTGCGTCTGTGCCTGCAATGTAGCAGCTAGCTAAGTACTTAAATACTCTTCTGTGGCAGTAGCTAGCCCGTTAAAACAGTAGCATTGAGTGATGTGCGGGAGAGGTTGCGTTGAGAAGACGAACACGCTGGATGAATATTTGGAAAAACTGAACCGGATCCTGGACAACATCCAACCCAGAGGAAGATCCTAGTATGAGTGGTGGTAAAATAAAGAAACAACGGTGAGCTGGAGGCAATACAGCAAAAGTTATCTTTCGTTTGGATTTGGAACACAGACTATTTTGTTAGCCTTCGTAAACAAACTGAGAAATAGGTAACATTTCTGAGAAACACCACAAAGGTGCCTGAGAGAGCTCTAAGCTAGCTATTAGCAGCTGAACTTGTGGCCAAATTGAAAGCCTTGTCATTAAATCTTCATTATATCGTCATTTTATATACGCTGTTTTAAGCTACAGCGTGTCATTTTGTTCCTTGTTGGTGAACCGTGGGATTTCTTTAATGTTAAAACATTTACCGGGGCTCAAAAAACACTGCGCTAGAGGACCATGTGTATTTGAGCAAGTGCTACTATATTATGGAATGTACTTGTTCATACTCTGTGTTTTTGATGTGTGTAGGTTTAAGAACGGACAGGGCAGTGGGCTGGATGGCGGGCAGTACCGTGTTTATGTCAACGGCACACTGGAGATCATACGGGCCAGAATGGAGGACGAGGGGACCTACACCTGTGTGGCCAGCAGCATGCTGGGAAAGGCCGAGAACCAGGTCCGCCTGGAGGTCAAAGGTCAGTCACCACTGCTGCCCTCAGACTGATGCTGATATTAAATCCTGTAACCATGCAAGAACTCATGTCCAGTTATGACTTCTTCATGGAATCCCATGACCTGGTTTGGTAAAAGAGGACATTTGTGTTGCATGAAATGACTTCTTTCCCTTTTGCCAAACAGCCCGCACCGCTGGACATTTTTCAAATCTCTCGTGCCTTTAATGAAACTGCCTTAACTTCTCTTTACCAACAGGTACCATTTTTGTTTTCGTTACAATTTGTCAGGTCAAATGGAAAGTAGGAACCCCATATTTAAAAAGCACAACAATCAGTTACAAATAGATACATATCTTTAAGAAGAATCTGCCAGTCCAGGAAGTGGGAGGTTCTTATTCTGCAAAGGAGCTGCAGGAGGAGGCGGTGGAGGGTGGAGGGTGAAGGGTGGAGGGTGGGACATCAAAGCACAGCACTTTACAATGATGCCGTGCATTTCCTACAAAATAGCTTCTCAAAGGAAAAGAGAATTGTATATGTTTGTGTTATTAACAGCAGATTGTGCTGAAAGTAATGTTATGTGTCCTGGTGCAGATTTAGTTCACCTGCTTCAACAGAAAGATGTTGGGAGCTGTGCTGCTATAACAGTGAAGTGATATTGTGTGTGTGAGCCTTTTAGAAAAGAGTGTGTTCCATCCACCTGCTCCCTGTCAGCCATCAGACACACATTACATTACATTGCATTTAGCTGACGCTTTTATCCAAAGCGACTTACAATAAGTGCGTTCGACCAACAAAATACAAACTTGAAGAAAACAGAATCATATAAAGTACATCAGGTTTCATAGAGCCAAACATTTCAAGTGCTACTCAACTGGCTTTAGATAAGCCAGTCCTTTATTAGTATATAAGTGCTTTGTTAGTAATTGTATCGCTCGAAGTGGAGTCGAAAGAGATGAGTTTTCAGTCTGCGGCGGAAGGTGTGTAAGCTTTCTGCTGTCCTGATGTCACCTGTCACTCATTCTCCTGGATGCCTCTAAATGAGTGAGTTCATGTAGTATGTGTGTGTGACTGTGTGTGTGTGTGTGTTCCCCTTCACCTCCCTCCACCTCAGAGCCCACACGTATAATCAGAGCCCCGGAGCACCAGTCCGCCATCCGGGGCTCCACGGTCCACCTGGACTGTAAGGTGACCTCTGACCCCAGCCTGCCCGTCACTGTGAGCTGGACCAAGGACGACAAGCCCCTCCACCTGGGATGGAGGTACCAGCACCTACACCTACATTACCTCTGATGCTGCGCCTGTAGAGTCAGCCACCAGCTGTCCTCCTGTCAGTGTTTTAACAGATAAAAAAGACATTTTATGCAAAGTGGTCATTTTTCCACAAAGAAATCCCTTTACTCTACGCACCTCAAAGGAATTTAATAAGATGAATATGGTGTACCATCGGACCTTAGTTTGTTTGTGATGAATTAAAATGTTAAGGTAATGTGGGTTATATACTGTAAGTCTAATATTTGGCAGATAAGCACATTCATTTTGAAACATTAGTATATTCTTAGTCAACTTAAATAAAGATGCTTTCATTGCAAAACATTCTTCTTGGTCTGTACATGGTGTCGTTTACATATAAGGCAGGGTACATGTGGGACAATGTTGCCAAAAAAAAATAACACAATATTTGCAGAGAAGTGACTGACTGTAAAATAAAAGTGTAATCACAGCATGAGCATAGAAACCCACTTTGTGTCTTCAAACACTGGACAGTTATCTGATGTTAGCATTGCATGCCTGATCCATTTCACACAGAGAGATGAACTTGAATTATTGATGTTTAACAAGCAATCCTTCTCTGTCTGCCCCCCCCAGGCTGAAGAAAAACGAGCAGTCCCTGAGCATCCCTAATGTGAACGAAGGCGATGAGGGCACATACAGCTGCTCTGTGAGATCTGAGATAGACGAGGACTCAGCCTCAGCCCGCCTCACTGTGTTAGGTACACAATCTGAGTAGCTGGAGACAATCACTAATTCACATTCAATATACTAAATGAGTTTTATGTCATATCAAAAAAACTCTAAAGTGTAAAATAATGTTGTGTAAAGATCTAACTATGGGTGCCAGTTGAATATCTTAAAGTATAATTGCTTTAACTCACATTTAGATATAGTGTTAAGTTTATAGTAAAGTAGAAGTAGGCAGTTTGTCAACATTGAAATGTTCAAGTGATGTCCTCTCTTGCCCTCTCCAGCACACATACACATAAATACACACTATAACGTTTTTGTTGTCTTATTTCTTATAACGATTATCTTTAAACATTTACTGTCAATGTCCTCAGTTCTTCCTGACACTTTACTATTTTTCAGCTCTATGTCTTCAAGTGGAAATCGTGCATATGTGTACTAAATACTAAAATACTTACCTAGCTTAGCCTTAACACTACTTACTGTCACTGATGTAGCCGTTTGCATGCAGCGCCCTGAGATACTGTCGTTCTGTGTTATCGTGCTGCAGAGGAGCTGCTTTGCCTGCTCAGTTTGAACATGCTGTGTGAACATTGTTTGTACATATGAGACTTATCATTAATAACGCTGGCTCACAGGAACAGGACACTGTTATTTGTTAACAGTAAACATGGCCAGCATTCAAAGAGGTTTGTTATCCTTAAAGACTCAAACCTGCGTGACATCTGTGTCTCAAATCTGATGCACTGAAAACACTGAAATGTTGACTTTAGTAAATGTATGATGTCAACAGATTTCACATAACTGTATCAGGTTAGCTGAAAGCAATAATATTAAAGTTGAACCTACATTTTTTGTATTTAAACTTAATATTATTGCTTTCAACGTAATACAGTTGTGTGAAATCTGTCTACATAATACATTTACTTCGTTTTTGTCAGTGTGATCATTACAAAGTCTCACATGTATCTATGATGATTATATGATCAAACGTTAGTGGTCTGACCTGGATTAATACAATACTAAATGACATGTTGACTATTGTGCTCCTTAGCTGATGACTGGCTTGTAGACTAACCGTCAAACTCTAACCTTTACCCCCACTTCCTGGTCCCTGACCCCCCCCCACAGAGGAAGCCTCCCTCCACCCCTCAGTCTCTAGTGCCTTGCCTCCAGGTAACACACGGCTCGGTGGAAAACTCTTTGTCTTTTCTTTTCTGTCCTGATGGTTTTTCTGTTTGTCGTCTTTTGTTTTACTTTGTGTCCTCGCCGTCTTTTTGTAATTGTGCCTCTGCTGTAATTATAACATGTATTATAAGGGATTTGTACATGACTTGCATCACAATCCATCCTGTCCAGTCATTTACTCTCATAGTAAGTCTGAAAATGTTTGTCCAGACTTCTCATGATGTCCCATTTAGAGCCATATTCCACTCATTCTGAGTTTGTGGATTTGACTAGTAGAGTTGTTTTTATATTTTACTAATTTCACAAGGTTATATATTAACAATTTCCTAAAAAGAACAAATGGTTGTGTTGGGAGGAGATTTGGAGGTGTTATTGGGTGATAAGAAAATCTAATGGTGTGTCTTGATTTAAGATTGATTGACAGATTAGGAGCTAAAATGATTTTGTACAGTATGAGTGACACGTGTACTGCAGCATGCCTGTAGTTGCCTGCATGTGTGTGTTGGAGTGTGTTCCCTTGTCTAAGCTCAGTTTCTCTGCAGACCGTCCGGACCCTCCCATGGATCTGGACCTGTCGGACCCCGCGGCCCGCAGCGTTCGCCTCACTTGGATCCCCGGGAACGACCACAGGAGACCGATCACAGGTCAGAACCTTGACAGGTGTCACAAGCATAGGGCTAGTCTTTATGAAGAAAATCCTATCACGATATTTTGACCCAACATCTCAGTATTGATATTATAACGATATTTTAGGGTTGACTATTGACGCTTTGACAAATAACTAAGCAGTCAGAGTTTTGATAAATAATCATCATTAATGAAGATGAAGTGACTAGGTGGGTAAAGGAGAAGAATTAAACAGTGATTTCATGTGAATTCAGAAAACTGACATGATTTCAGTGTTACTGCTCTCAAACCATTATCAGACATCAATTACAATACCCCACATCTGAGACCGTATCCATTCTCATATCACACATTGATACTAATCGATATAAAGCCCAGCCCCACACAAGCTATGTCAGTTTCCTGACAGAGTGTAGCTCGTTACTGAAGAGAAGGCTATATTAACACCCCCCCCTCTGGTCTCCCTCTCCTCACTCGGCTCTGTGTCTCTGCAGAGTTCCTGGTCCAGTTTGAGGAGGACCGATGGGAGTCCGGCAGGTGGCAGGACCTATCCTCGTACCCTGGAGACCTGAACTCTGTCATCCTGCAGCTCAACCCCTTCGTCAACTACCAGTTCAGAGTCATCGCCATCAACTCCGTGGGCCAGAGCACCCCCAGCCGGCCCTCCCCCCGATACAAGACCAGCGGAGCGGGTGAGCAGCACCACACGCACCCATCTGACATCATCTGCTTCTGGCTGTTAAAAGTCTCTGAGGTTACATGTCTTCACATCAGATAATAACTTCATGTTCTTCACACAAAGCAAACTGTGACCTTTGATTTGAAGTAGTGGAAGTGTCCTCTTAAATAAAGAATGTCCAGCCTGTAAGATAATATCCTCAAACTGAAATAACCTGAAGCCAGGATGTTTCCTTCTAGCTGCTTTAAATATGGAAGCAGAAAAAAACATTCTTCACAATAAATGTAAAGAAAAATAAAGACTGCATATTTTGCAGTCTTGCTTGAATAGGAATGATTTCTCCTAAATATGTATATTGTATATTATAATATGCAATGATATACTCTGTTATGCTTAATATCTCATATTATATTATAGTGTACTATAATACACTTGATTATGTTATTCTAATAATATATATAAATAATATGTCATACTGTGTATAAAAAACAAAACAAATACTTAATCATATCATATACCATCCTGGTGTATGCTGTTGTATTTGTATATAAGTATAGTATTATACTGTACTATATTTACTGACTGCTACACAATACCAAGTCAACTAGCTTGAGACAAAGTTGCTCTATACATGAAAGAGTTCAAAACTCTGGTTAGGGTACATTCTTTCATGTAATTGTGATACTGTCGACTTGTTGTTCTGTTAACAACAGCTCCAGATGCTATTCCCAGAGGACTACGAGGATGGGGATCCAAGAAGGACAATATGGAGATCACCTGGGAGGTAGGACATGTTGAGGGCAGGACATTGCTATTGTTAGTAATGGCAACTAATGCATTATTCTAAGAAATGATCATGGATGGAATTGGGACGGTAAAATCAAGTGGTATATCGAAGTATTAGTTGTTTTAATGGTATTTATTTGACTGAAAATAATATTTGAAACTGTTTTAACTTCCATGAAAACGTTGGCTAATGGCTGACTTCATCTTAAGTGTTTTCATCTCTTACTAATTTGAAAAAAGCAAAACACTGTATTCAGAAAACATTCGTTAACAGCCAACTTTCTGTTTTCTCCAGCCTCTGCTGGACCTGGAGAGAAATGGCCCCAACATGCACTACAGTGTGTGGTGGAGGAGGAAGGATGCAGGGGAGGAGTGGAGGAATGTGACCACAGCGGGGCCCAAACATGTTGTCCACATCACAGAAACCTACGTGCCTTACGAGATCAAAATCCAGGCCAGGAACGAGTTTGGGCAGGGGCCCGAGTCCAATGTGGTCACTGGGTACTCTGGGGAGGACAGTGAGTACTGCAGAGCCGTTGGTGAAAGCCAATAGGAAGTTGATTCTTTGAATAAAGCTGGTAGATATTTCGTGTTGAAGCTTTTCAGGATGACAAAAAGTCAGCCTCTTACAATATCATTGTTAAATCTTGCTCCTAAAATAGCTTTTTATCCATTAGTGCTGTTGTCTGCGAAGCAACAAGAGCCCCACTGACAGAACTTGTTTATTTCTTTATGAACAGAACTGCACCTTTCCATAAATAAAACACAACATGCCCATTTCTCCGTGCGTTCAGATCCCAGCGACGCTCCCACTGACTTGCGGGTGTCGAAGGCCGACAGCACCAAGGTGAACCTTCACTGGAGGCCCGTGAACCTGAGCTCTGTGCAGGGGGAGTTCAAGGAGTACAGGGTGGGTCCTCTCTCTCTGATGTCAGGAACCACTGCAGGGTTTGGGTAGAACAGATGTGGCATAAACTGTAATGCAGGACTATTTACTATTCATCATTTAATAGTGAGAAATAATAGGCTTTTGTTACATTTTCTTTGTATTCAAGGGAACAATTCTGCATTTTAAGATAAACAGTTTAAAACTTTAAAAAAATGTTTTGTTAGTTCTTCTGTCCAGTGAAGCGGGGCTTAACCTTTAGATATTTGCATTTATGTGTGAAGTGTTTTCTATACCTGATCAAATTATTAACCAGAAATTCCTCCCGGAATTTGAATGTGGACCTGAATGTTACTTTCAGAGTGAGCCTGTGTGACTTTGATTCTGTGCCTGCTACACACACTCTAAATCTCAGTTTCTCTGGTTTCATCTCCTCCGCCGGTCTTTCACATAATAACCACTTCCTTCTCCTGCTCCTCCCCAGTTGTACTACTGGCGTGAGTCCAGTCTGGTTCCAGGTCTGCTGGTCAGTAAAGAGAAGAAGACCAAAGGGTTCTACAGCGTAGTTGCAGAGCCATCGGGAGTCCTCAGCGACCTGGTGCCATTCTCTAAATACAAGATGTTCATGGTGGTGGCCAACAGCGGCTTAGAGGGTCCGCCCAGCAACACGGTGGAGATCACCACCAAGGAGGGGGGTGAGGACGCTGCCGCACTACTGAAATATATCCTACAAGAGAAACCACATCTCATTTCACTAAAGTGTTCAGACTTTTTAATATGCAGAACCAGACCTCAACCCTACTGCCTGAATTCAGATTGACTATGGAAGTAGCTTTTAACTCATCTGTCTGTAAATCCTGAGCCCTTTCTTGTGTTGTGTGTGTGTGTATTTTTAGTGCCGGATGCTCCCAAGTTTTTCAGGATAAACAGGAGAGGTTTTGACACCATCCACCTTCAATGGGACAAGCCTCTAGAGCCCAACGGCCTCCTGATTGGTTACCAGCTCAAGTACCAGACAGGTGAGCTGCTCACATTGATCAAAACGACTAAACTCAACTCAGACAAATACAGACCTCCAGCCTTCAGACAGAAAGCATTTTATTACTGGGTTTACTCTTTTTTTTGGTTTATAGTTTTTATTCAACCCTTGTGCTGTCTTCGTTTCCACTGTGCAACTTCTGTCCTACAGTACATAGTATAAACTATACATATTCACCAGAATCTGTGTTACACCTTATAAGCCAACTTTATTCATACTTATTAACACAAGTTTGACTCTTCTTTTCAGAAACGTATGGTCAATAGACCTCATTTACACACAATGAAAACTCATTTGTGAGTTAAAAAATGCAAACATGTTGAAAGATTTAGAAAATGGACCCAGAAGACTGCAGATGCTATACATATGAATAGAACCCAAACTGTTATGAAAGTGATCATAATTATTTTCTAAAAAAGTGCTATACAAGCACACATGTTATTTTTCTGGCACTAACATCCTGACATCATTTTTGTTGGAATGTTTGGAACAGGAATGTTAAGTAAATTGCATTTTGACCACACTAGTTTCCAATGTGAGACACAGCAGGGCAGCAGAATGAATGGAAACACTTCTACACACCTAAGTAACAGTAAAGGTGGCCATTCAAAAGATGAACTGCAAGGAGGAAGCACAGAGGTGACAGCTACAGTAGTACCAGACTCACCGTTTGATCATTTACAGAGGTGGCAGTATTACTCACATCTTGTACTTCAGAAAAAGTACCAGAGTGTAGGAATACTCTGTTACAGTCAAAGTCCTGCATTCAAAATGTTCCTCAAGTGAAAGTAGAAAAGTATTCTCATCAAAATATAGTGAAAGTAGCGACAGTGAAAGTAGTCGTTGTGCAGATTGGTCCATTTCAGAATAATATATATGATATGTTTTATAATGATTGATCATGAAAGTGTTCTCAAAGCTGGTAAAGGTGCAGCTAGTTTGAATGACTTTGTATACTGCAGAGTAGCTTGTGGATTTACTCCAGGTGGAACTAAAGTCTGATTCAACACTTGATTATATTTCACACCATTCATCCACATCTGTGAAGTAACTAAAGGTATTAAATACATGTAGTGGAGTCAAAGTAGCATAACATGGAAGTACTCAAGTTCAACCAAATGTTACTTAAGCACAATACTTGAGTAAATCTGATCATGTGTGGCAAATTCTGACAGCAAACTGACCCTCTGTCGTTCTCTGTGATTGTGTGTGTAGTCAACGCCTCCAGGATGGGCCGCCACCAGCTGGAGACCTTCCTTCCCAATGTGACAGAGTTCAGCCTCCGCCTGCCGGACCGCTCCACCCGCTACAAGTTCTTCCTGTCAGCGCTCACACAGGTGGGGTCGGGGGAAGTGTTCGCTGAGGAGTCCCCACACTTCACCAATGAAGGTGATTATTTATACCAACACAAAAAACAACAGTCAGTGCTTCCATAAAGATGTGGTGAGACACTAAAACTCACTGTACACGCAGCCAATTCACAGGAGGGGAAAAAAACAGCAAGTTCATTGTTTTTGTACGTTTAATAGTTTATGTTATTGGTTTAAAGAAGGTTAAAAAAGTCACAGTTCTAAGCTGACTCGATACGATAGTGCCAACCACTTTGAGCCATTGATTTTTAAATGATATAAGGATGAGACAATATTGCCAATAATGAATTGTTCGTTTAAAGTTCTTTTAGGATGCAAAGCCTGATGTATCTTATCTGTCTTTGTCTTGTAGCCTAATTGTTTTAAAAACTCTTTAACCACATAACATTTTCTTCCTTTAATGTTTCCTTTAACCTATAGCAACCAGCTGTTAGAAAATGACTCAAAATGAAAATAGAGTCATTGGTAGGGAAGCAAAAATAATACAGTAAATGATTATTCTTTAATAAATTATCTTACAATAATTTAGTTTTAAAAACTTGAATAGGATCATTTCTGAACGTTTTGAATGGGATTTGGCATCACCTGACACTGCAGCTTCTCTCTGCTGCATTGTGTCTGGTTTTACTACGGCATGACAGATAGGGTGTCTACCTCGTGAGAGTCTGGCTGTGTGCATCACTGGAACATGTGTGTGTGTGTGTGTGTGTGTGTGTGTGTGTGTGTGTGTGTGTGTGTGTGTGTGTGTGTGTGTGTGTGTGACAGACAAACAAATAGAAAGTGAGTGAGGCCCTTTAGTAAACACTGGCCTCTTTGTTTGTATCAGATGGAGAAAGAATGGGTCTGTCACTGATGGATGAACAAATTCACACACACACACACACACACACACACACACACACACACACACACACACACACACACACACACACGCAGAAACACAAACACACACACGTACAAACGCACACACACACACACGCAGAAACACAAACACACAAACACGCACACACACACACACACGCAGAAACACAAACACACACACACACACATGCAGAAACCCACACACACACGCAGAAACACAAACACACACACACACACACACACACACAGAAACCGACACACACACGCATAAACACAAACACACACACACACACACGCATAAACACACACACACACACGCAGAAACACACACACACGCACACACACACACGCAGAAACACAAACACACACACGCAGAAACACAAACACACACACACATGCAGAAACACAAAGAAACACACACACACACACACGCGCAGAAACACAAACACACACACACACACACGCAGAAACACAAACAAACACACACACACGCAGAAACACACACACACACACAAACACACACACACATGCAGAAACACAAACACACACACACATGCAGAAACACAAACACACACACACACACACACACACATGCAGAAACACAAAGAAACACACACACACAAACACACACACACATGCAGAAACACAAACACACACACACACGCAGAAACACAAACACACACACACACACACACACATGCAGAAACACAAAGAAACACACACACACGCACACACACACACGCAGAAACACAAACACACACACACACGCAGAAACACAAACACACACACACACACACGCAGAAACACAAACACACACACACACACACACATGCAGAAACACAAAGAAACACACACACACACACACGCAGAAACACAAACACACACACATGCACACAATCTTTTCCTACTCACTTTCCACACAGAGCAACTTTCATCACAACTTTTCTTCAGGAGAAAGTGTTGTGGCATTTCAAACGTCTTCCTCCAAACCCGAGAAGATGTTGCCCATCTCGGTCCTCTCACACCCCCCCTCTCTCTCCTGTCTCCTCTCCTCTTCTGTTGGCAGACAACGGTACTGACTCTACAGGCCTAGGTAATGGGGAATGAGAAGCACAGTGTGCCTGTTGCCTTTCCTTACCCCCCCTCCTCCATATCTCTCCACTGCTCATCTTCCCACTAGACAGCAGAGCAGTCCACTATATCATTGTATAGTCCATCAGAGTGCTGCTCACCCTGCAGGCAGCAGAGGGAGCAGCTGCACTAGTTTGAACCCCATCAGGGAAACTCACATTTGCCTTTAATTTGACAGTCAGTCAAGTATCATGACAAGCCCTTTGTGTGGTACCCAACAGGAAGCTGTTCTGTGACTGCATATTCAACATATTCAATCAGAGCCTAACCTTTTTCAATGATTACTTTGATCAGACTCAAGATAACCAGCTTGAAGGCACGCTCAATGACCCAAGTCCTGCTGTCTCTACATTGAGTGACAGATCTTCAAAAACAAATGTTAACACCACATCCACCATCAGGTCAAAATTACAGTTTGTCATTCATCATTTCTGAACTGTAAAACTGTCAAATCTGTAGACATGCAAGCTCAGTAGTTATACATGCAGTTATACAATATGCAATATAGGTATATGGTATAGTCATTTAGCTAGTGGACTGTCCTGCTGTCTCCTTCTCTCATCTCTCCACCTGCTGCTGTGTGCTGTCAGGGATCCAAGCTCAATGTTTAAGGTCAGCTTGAACACAGGTTAAGTGAGTGAAATATTTATTATGTGAAGGTATGTGAAAATGTAACACCACATATTTTACACATTCTAATTCTTAGGTATATATTGTGGTACTGGAATGAGTCAGCACTCTCCCAATTCTGGCAACTCTGTCTCAAAATCTACCTTTTCTTTTAAACGTGTTTTTGTGAAATGCCTGAAAAGAGATCTGAATCAAGCTGAAGATATTTTTGTAGCAGCTGCTAGATAGACCTTACTATCAGGTCAATCACCCTGAAAGCTTCTGAAGAACCCTCCTTTAACTATTTGTATGTTATGTTGACATTTAAACTTAGATTTCTCCACCAATCCCTGATAGCACACCTTAATGCGATCTCACAGCATCACTGCCTCCTCCTTCCATGGGACACAAGTTAGCCTTGTGTAGCAACTCATGTGTTCTGATCCGTTTTTCAGTCAACATGATGATGACACCGCTGTTTCAAGAGTGTGTGTGTGTGTGTGTGTGAGTGATGGGAGGAGATGCATGTCCTTGCGTCGATTTGTCAGGATGGGGAAAACATTTTGATGTGAATTGATGAGTGTGCTGGGGGTTACAAAGAAACTCCATCAGCTGTTGGCCTCCCTCACTCACTGGCTTCTCATCTTGCTTCTGAGCTTTTCCAAAAGTCATCTCACTCTGCCATCTTTATCCATTGCTTGCACTCACCTGGTCAGTAGTACAAACAGTACTGAGGATCACAGGTAAGCTGTCCTGAAGCTCTGCTCTGACCCGCCCCCCCCCCTCACTGGGCTGGAACGGTTTCAGATGTTTCCATCATCACGTCTCACTTTCCCTCCCCTGCACGGTGGTTTGATGATATGATTGGTCTCCAGTCTGGGGATACGAGCATGCTGGCTGGGGTTGGGGGTTGTGGTGTGATGGAAATGTTTGGCAGGGGGGCATAAGTATCAGGACCCTTTACTGACTGGAGAAGGCCTAAACATTAAGGTACTTTAGGAGTGAACAACCATTAGTGGACTAGGATGTGCTGGACCCAGTGTGGTGTATGTTTTTCACAGACTGAGTGAAATGTGACATTACAACACGTTCAGTGCGTTGTATTTTCCCATCAGCTATGTGCGTAAATGAGGTGCCTGTAAAGGGTTGATGGCGATCTGTAACTTGAAACATGAGGTCCATCTGGTAAGTACTTTAGAGGAGCAATACTAAAAGAGGTACTTCAATTGCTTCAAACTGTAGGGAACTGTGAGAGACAGATTTAAAAGAAGAGGGCTCAAAATGGAAGATATCTTGCTCCTACTTAACCCTTCTATGGTGTTCAGGTCTGTGGGACCCGTTTCCATTATTTAGTTAAAGAAAAATGATATGACAAATTATTTTGTCAAACTCACACTCAATGGCCTTGGCTCATTTTCTGTGAAGAACATATATCAGAACACCAATGACCACCCACTGTACACCCCCCCTACACATTTACATGACATACAGGGTGGTCAGGATTCTCTGCTCAACCATTTGATGATGAGGAAGAGGTTTCAGAATGTGAGGATCTTCTGAGAATTCTGAGTCTGACAGTGACTTTGAAGAAGAGGATGAGATTGAGCATCAGCTAGGTGCAAAAAGAAGACGAGCCACAGGACCAGCCGGTCAGCGGGCAAAACAACAAGTAGCACTTTAATTCATTAATGTGATCGAACAAATGTAACAAGGCAAATATTCACCATATGCTGTTTATATTGCTTGTAATTGAGATGAAGCAAACATCTGTTGAGTATTTTAAAATGAAATAGTTTGATTGTGTTGAATTGAAGCCCATAAAGGCAGCGGGTCCACCAGACCCACGAACACTGGCTGAGTAACAGAAATAGGAACACCACACAAGGGTTAACAGTAAGCTATGCTTGATCTAGGGATACAGCAATACCACTATGTTTTAGACCAACAACAAGTACAAGTCCTTACATGTGAGTACTTGCCGATACCGAGTACTGATGTGAGTACTTAATAATACCATTACAGTTTGACTTTTCGCCCCTCCGCTTGACAATTTAGCAGAGCATAGTTTGCATTTTGTCATCGTCGCTTATCCTAAAATATTTGCTGGTATCGCTTTTGGTGCATCCCCAGCTAGATCCCACATTATTTCCCATAATGCAACCAATAGCCTATTCTTTCTTTGACCCCTGTATTTCCGGTCCACAGCCCTAGTCTGTAACACAGGCTTTTGTTATAAATGGTTAGTCCGTGAATCTAAGCCGAGGTGAATCATCACGGGTTATTCTCTCAGATGTTATTATTGTCTGATCTCCAGTCCAGTCAGTTCATGTCAGTTTCCTCTATGGCTCCTCTAAAGCTCTAACTCAATCTCTTTCTCACTGGCACAAGATAAGTAATACTTCCCATAATGATTCAACTGACCTTTGTGGATTTAAAAAATGTGTTGCCCTTTAAATGCAACACAAATATGTAATCAAAATAAGGTTACCAGTTGGGGTTTTCTAAACCAAGACCCTACACAGAAATGTTCCTTCTTTTAAAGAAACACAATGACAGGCATGTTGTAATATCAGCAGGTGTCCTCTTGGTGGCAGTGCAACCTCTGTCCATGCAGGACGATGAAGAGGTGTGAATGCATCTCATCAGAGATGAAGAGGAAACACTCAAATGAAGGCTGCGATGGTTTATTCACCCATGATGACTTAGTCTGACGTTTGATGTGCGCAGTGATGTGTGCTGCTTGAGAGGAATTCCTTGTCCTGTGTGTGTGTGTGTGTGTGTGTGTGTGTGCGTGTGTGTGTGTGTGTGTGCGTGTGTGTGTGTCTGCGTGCGTGTGTGTGTGCGTGTGCGTGTGTGTGCGTGTGTATGTGTGTGTGTGTGTGCGTGTGTGTGTGTGTGTGTGCGTGTGTGTGTGTCTGCGTGCGTGTGTGTGTGTGCGTGTGCGTGTGTGTGCGTGTGTATGTGCGTGTGTGTGTGCGTGTGCGTGTGTGTGCGTGTGTATGTGCGTGTGCGTGTGTGTGCGTGTGTATGTGTGTGTGTGTGTGCGTGTGTGTGTGTGTGTGTGTACCTGTTAGATGTTCTCCTGCTGCCTTGTGTTTAACCCTTTGCTCTCTCGCCCCTCCTCCCTTGTAGTCGAGCTTACAGAGGCCTCCGTAGATTCAGCTTTCTCTCCTACTCCTCCTCCTCTCGCTCCTCTTCCTCCAACTACCATCGCTCCTACAACCATTAGTACCTCAACTACTACTACCACTACTTCTACTACTACTGCTGCTACTACCACTACGACTGAGGCGACCACTACCACTGCACGTCCTGAGCTGGTCCCCACCAGGCGCAATGATCAGAATGTGTTGGGTACATGCTGTTGTCCCATTTTGGATTTGCCTGTCTTTCTATTGTTTTAGTGTACAATGAACGGCACTTCATGGTTAACAAAAGACGATTGCCTTCTCCCACCTGACGAAACAGGAAACCACATCAGAGCTGCATTCCAATAATCTGTGCTGTACCTACTGTACAAAAAGTGGGGAATTACTTCAGAATATTGGGATGCAGCCAGCAACTAACCTCCTGGTCAGGCAGTGAGAATACAAACCTTTTTTAAATGAAATGATAAGAGAAAGTAGCCTTCATCTCGTGAGTGATAAAGGTTGTGATATTGGCAGAGCTCGCCTCTTCTTTTGGTTGTTAAGGTCAAATGAGTCCACTCTAAACCATAATTAAGCATCCTAGCTAAGTGTTAACAAATCCTCTGTTATTTTCTTATGGGTGAGTTTCCTGTCCATGAAAACAAATGTACTTCTGGCTTCAGACAGATCATGATCTACTTCGGAACCCATTAAAACGATCGCTCTCGTAGCTAGAGTCCCTCCGTGCTCGCACCATGCATAGCTCTTCATTGAGATGCGTGTGTGGTTGTTGTAACTGTGCAATCTCTGCCACTTGCCCCTGACCCTTAACCCTCTACCCCTGACCCCCCCTGTGTAGTGGCCCCTGGGCTGGAGATCTGGAATCTGACGGTGGAGCCTAACAGTAACTACGCTAACGTCAGCTGGAGACACAACTTCCCGGCCGGCAGCAGCGAGTTTGTGCTAGAGTTCACACTGGACAGTAAGAAACCAGTCCAAGCCACCTGAGATATCAAAACCAATAGCTGTCTGATTATCAAAGACAAACAGAGTAGTGAGATGTCACAAAGTAAGAAGAGCAGAAGCAGTGCAATATTTCAAAGATAAGGCTAAACAGATTTAACAAAACAGATTTGAAAGACATGAAATGATTGGACCACCAAATTAGAATATAATAGACTCTACCATGTCGGTTTGACCTCTAAGATTAAGGACTTGACCAGCTCTCATTTTAAATACTCACTATCATTGACTTTCATTTGAACAATGGGTCAAATGATTATGACTAATGTCATGTTTTGGTTGTAGTATTGACCCTACAGAGAGTCATCACGAACTCTGCAGGTCCTTCAGCTCTGACGCCTTTTAGCCTCTTTCAGCTGCTTTGGGATACTTACCTAAATATACACATTAGCTAAAATCATCTTTAGAAAGCCACAATTTGGTTGTTGTGGAGTTCTGCCCTAAGTGGCAAACAAACCTAATTTCATTCATGCAGATTTAAAAAAGCTGATATGTATAATGACCCAATTGGCAGCTGTGTTTATCAAAGACTAGATGTATTGAATGATGTTTAAAGTAACCTCAGCTATGGTTTTCAGTGCTGGGGATTAGAGAATGTACTGTCTTTTTAAAGACACCTTGATCTACATTAGCATCTACTCTAGCCCACTTTTATAAATAGCACTGTATGAATTATGTTCACAAACAGATGGAAATATTTACTTCTGGCCAAACCTTTTCCCTCTTTTCTAAATGAAATTCAATCTGGTTAGCAGCAGGATTGTTGTTATGATAAAGCAAACATGATGGAAAAAATGTATACCTTTTTGTCAATCAGGCTTTAATTACACCTGAATAGCAGTTTATTTTAATTCCTTGCTCAATGGTTTTGCTCAAATGTGTCCTTGTCTTACTGCATAAACCACATTCATAGCTCAGTCTGTGTTTCTCTCTTGAACTCTTCATACCTTTCTCTGCTCTTTAAATGTTGGAAAATGTTCATCATCCTGTCACTACTGACTTCCCGTGCACCATCACAATGTTTCCTCACTAACACGCTGCCAGGCTTTGAATGGCTCTTATTGGATTCCGCTTGCTTTGTCTGAAATGCTGTTTTTCGGCCATCATGTTTCCATTATCACTTTCCTTTTGCTTTGGATTTGGTGTTTGGAAATCTTGAAGTCTGCTTTTATAAAACACATCATTCCTCCTTTTCTAAAATACCAGAGCTGCTTGAGATTGGATTTGCCAGCACTTATAGGCTCTCTGTTTTTGCTTCCAATGTGATCTTTGATAATGAACGGAAAGAAGGAAGGATGTATTTTTCATGTATTCGGGCAGTGGCTTTTATTCTTAATGATGTCTGTATGTGAACAGAAAGAGAAAGGGTGAGAAGAAGGGAGGTGAGGGGGGTGATGAGACTGATCTAATGGTCTCTCCCCCGCCCACTCTGTTCTCTAAGGTAAGATCTGAAAGCTTTAGGCGCTTTCACACCGGAGTACTTTTCCCAGGAATAGTTCCAATAGTTCCTGGGATTTTGCGTTCACACCAAAAAGATCGGGAACTAGAACTTTTTTTTGTGAACCTGGAGAAAAAGGTTCCAATTTCTGATTGGCTGGGCGAATTGCAAACCACGCCCCGTAAAACTCTGAAAAGTTTTAGTGAAGCCACCATTTTATTTGCTCGCATTAGCATTATTAGCATTTGCATTAGCCCAGCGCACCAACGGAGAGAGACTAACTTATGCCAACACAAAAGAAAACATGGGAGCGGTGGAGTGATGAGGAGATGTCGGCGCTTCTGGCAATTTACTCGGAAGGCTGAAGCCAGTCCCCAACTCCGGGGACTTCGGGTGGCACTATACGCATGGATGTATAATAAGAACTGGATACAGCGT